GGGAGACAGGCTCCAGGGTGAGCCTCAGGGCTCGGGTGAGGCGCTTTAGTAGCCTCCCGACTTTCCTGGGAGGCTAGAGATCACATACATTTTCTATTCTAAAGATACACTTCCCTAGTGTTTTATTTTGAAAAAATTTCAAACCTACAACAAAGTTGTGAGTATAATGAAAGAAAAAGTGTACAGTGAACACCCTCATACCCTTGATCTGTTTCATGGACGGTTGAATTTTACATTTGTTTTATTTCTCCACGCACATGCGTGTGCACACACACGTGTTTTGTTTTTAATATCAAGTAATTTTCTGAAACATCAGGTATCTTAGAACACCTTAGACAAAAGATTTGGTCTGCTAAGGACTCTGTTTTAGCTTTAGATTACGTACATCGTACAACAAACGGTACCCCAGCCTGTTAACATAAGCCGCGTNTACGTACATCTTACAACAAACGGTACCCCAGCCTGTTAACATAAGCCGCGTGGAGCCGGAACGGAGTAACCAGCTCTGCTTTCGTGCCCAGGGGCCCCGGTAGCACATCAGAAGCAGAAGCTGTCTTACCTTCCTCTAAGTAGTTATTATTACGCCATACAGATTTTAAAACGTTAACAAAAATAAAGGAAAAACTTGAAAATATCAGACGGAATGCAGGTAGTGAACCAGTGATTCTCGAGGCAGAGCTTGGTCGGCTGCCGCGTGTGATGTGTCCTGCCCTCGGGGTGGCACCTCCAGTTCCGGCCGCGTTGCTCCCATGGCCACTGGGCCGCCTGCGTCAGTGCTGAGACTAAGTTTGCTCATGGCCGGGTCCTCTTAGCGTGTGTCCGGGGTCTTCCAGGCGGACGCTGGGAGACAGGAGTGCGGTTTCTCAAAGCGGGGTGCCCAGATCCTTCGCAGACGTGCCCTCCCTACCAAGCCGTGCGTCCAGAGGTTCACGTAGTTTTCTCTGAACTTTCTGAAGTGGGTGCAGCCGTCATGACACGTCTTTCCTAAGGACATCGCCTGTGTCTCTTAAGAACAGGGAAATCCTCGTAACCACAATACGGTTATCACATCCAGAAACGACAGCGTTAGCTAGGTCTGTCCACATTTCAGGTGTCCCCCAATTCTTCCAACATTGTCCTTCATAGCGTTTCCCCCTTGAATCCGGGATCCAGTCTAGGGTTATGCTTTGTATTTAGTCATTCGTTTTCTTTAGTCTTTTAGAAATCTGAAATGCTCCCCCAGGCCTTTAATTTCTGGTCTATTTTAGCATTACATTTTTTAAAAGTTCAGGCCAGTTATTTTACAGAATGTCTCCCAGTTTGGATTTTTTTCTGATTGTTGTTTCTTGAATAGAGTTAGGCTACGCATTTTTTATAGGTAGCACTACCTGGGTGATATTGTGCGCTCAGGAAGCACATGATACCAGTGGGGCTGACTGAGAGGAAAGACGATTGAGGTGGTGTCCCTGGGTTTCCCCACTATAGAGGTACTTCCCCCTTGGTTGTGAATACGTAATCTTGGGTGATCTTTGAATCAGTGTGACTATATTGCTCCCCAACAATCTTTACCCAGTGGCTTTAGCCATTTCTCAGTGATTCTTGCACGTGGTGTTTATTGCTGTGGTAGGTGCAAAATGCAATTTATCATTGCACCCTTCCTTCTGCATTTATCAGCGGGTGTTTTTCTGTAAGGAATAGCTTCCTCCCCTCATCAGTCTTACTGAGATGGTTTTTTAGACTCAGGATGGATTTTCATTCCCCCTTTTCTGTTCTTCAGCATGTATAGTAAATAGTCCTATTGTTTATTTGGCTGTTCCGAGGATCCTGAGGTGAACGCCTTGCCCTGCTGGCTCCATCACTGCTTGAGCACCTGCTCACTTCTGTTAAATAAATGTCCTAGGTTGGCTTTACTGTTTACTTGCTCCAGACCTGGAAACAACCATTTCTCCAAGGAGCCTTGGTTCCTTTTAATGGAGAAGGAGATTTAGAAACCAAGTTCGGGGTGGTGTTGGGGATGTCATTGCTCTTAGGCTCTTTTTGGGGGGGAAATCAAGAGCTTTTCCTGCTACCTCTGTGCGTCAGCAGCACCGGCTCTCCCTCTGCCCCCACTCCTTGTTCGTGGCCCCCTTTCCCACATCAGAAATTGGCCCCCAATGTCAGTGTCTTGTCCTTATGGGTCATTCCTCTAGTAAACACGAGACACCTCCAGAATGGCTACCCACGTCCTGCTACCAGCAGCAAAGCCGATCAAGTTCCATGTACTTTTCAGTTCTTTGGGTACTTAGAATATATACTACTGTGCTAGAAAAGTGTTTGGACTGAGTCTTCTGGTTTTTCTTCTGTAAGAGATGAGGTTAATAAGATATAATGAGGCATTTTTTTAGTAATCAGGTAAAAATAAAAGAGGCAAACTAAGAGGGAGTGAGGGATGAGTGAGGTGGTGGGAGTCACCCAGTAGTTTCCACTTGAGGGCGGTGGCCAAGCAGGAGTCACTCCCCTCACGGTGTGCGCAGGTGTGCGCAGGTGTGCGCAGGTGTGCGGCAGGTGGCTCTGTGCTGGGTGGTGTGCTCACCTGAGGTGGCTCTCTGGCTCCCTCTGCAGGTACTCTGACCACACCATGTGGAAGGCCTTCCTGGGCCTGCACGACCAGAGCAAGCGCAGCGCCTCGGGGGTGCAGGAGCGCGGCCTGAAGCGCATCATCAGCCACCCTTCCTTCAATGACTTCACCTTCGACTATGACATCGCGCTGCTGGAGCTGGAGCGGCCCGTCGAGTACAGTAGCACCGTGCGGCCCATCTGCCTGCCCGACTCCTCGCACGTCTTCCCGTCGGGCAAGGCCATCTGGGTCACCGGCTGGGGCCACACCTACGAGGGAGGTGAGCTGGCCCGTCCCACCTCCCTCCCCTGGCAGGACGGGGCTGGCCAGCGTGAAGTGGAGGCTTCCAGTGACCGCTGGGGGTTGGGAGGCCGGGCTTTGGGTAGAAGGCCTGTCTGTGTCACTTAACTGAGTGGCTTTGGCGAATTGCTTAAGCTCTGAGCCTGTTTCTTCACCTGTAAAATGAAGATAAAAACACCTTCCCAGATGGTACTCAGCGAATGTAAGAGCGCTGTTGTGGAAACTGTGATTTAGAGAGGCTTGTCGAGCTGTGCTGCCAGGACTGGTGGTGGGAGCCTGGCCCCCTCTCCTGGCTCCCTCCGAGGGCCGATAGTTGTAATTGTTATATTGAAAAGCTCAGTTCTGATATAATACAGTGCACTGCTGAAAATGTGTGGACTACAGAGAGGAAAAGGGAAAATAAGCTGACTTAGGCTCTGCTGCCTTCACAAACCCCCTGGGCACTGCGTGGTGCTTTCTTCCACTTTCTGTTTCTTGTCTCACACGCTGTCTGCGGTGTGTGCTCCACGCCCTCCAGCCTGCCACCTAACGGCTGTACGTGGCTGTGTAGTATCCGACTGTAGATGTGTCGTCAGTTACTTAGCCATTTGTCAGCCTCCGGCTTGGGCTGTGTCCAGAGTTTTGCTAGTGCAGTTATCCCTGTGGGAGCATGTTGCAGGGGCTGTTCCCCACGCAGCGTGGCCCTCGGGAGCCCCCCCGGCCCGGGTCAGCCTGTCCTGCCCTCTCCCCAGGCTCCGTGGTGCTGATCCTGCAGAAGGGCGAGATCCGTGTCATCAACCAGACGACCTGCGAGAAGCTGATGCCTCAGCAGATCACCCCGCGCATGATGTGTGTGGGCTACCTGAGCGGGGGCGTGGATGCCTGCCAGGTGGGTGCCGGGGCACAGGGCCTGGTGGGCCTGGGAAGATGGGCAGGGCACTCAGGGCTTGTTTCTCCTCAGGGCGATTCCGGGGGCCCCCTGTCCAGCGTGGAGGAAGATGGGAGAATCTTCCAGGCCGGCGTGGTGAGCTGGGGCGAAGGCTGTGCTCAGAAGGACAAGCCAGGCGTGTACACAAGGCTCCCTCTGTTTCGGGACTGGATTAAAGAGCAGACTGGGGTTTAGAGACAGGGGCCATCCACCGGTCACCCCAGCGTGCACCCTTGCGGACTGAACACAGGATCGCTACCTGGACCCCTGCCTCAGGCCCCCCCAGACTGAGCCGAATCCCCAGGACTCTGGAGATGGGGGACTGACTGGTCTGCAGAGCCTCTCACCTCCCGCAGCCTCCAAAGCGGGGCTGGGCGTTGGGGAGGGAAGGATGCCAGCGATGCCCAGGGAGCAGAGGCCTGAAGACCGGAGCCTGCCACTCTAGCCTTAAGCAGCTGAGGCTCCTTGAAGATCTACGTCCTAGGCGTCTGCTCCAAGACCAGCCACAATGTGGCCTCTGGGACGGCACTGTGGGCTCCTGGGACACACTCTTCAGGAAACCCAGGCCAGGAGGACCCTGGAAGACAGGCCTAAGATTTGAACTGTTTTACCAGCTGCCAGGATGGGGTTCAGAGTGTGTATTTGAGTAAAATATTTTATTTCTTTTTAGGTATTTTTGTTCTTACTGCAGTCGATGGGCCCTCTTTCTTCCCTTCTTCCTGGCCCCAGTTCGAGAAACTGGGTTTAAATTTCCCTCAGTACAGACCCTGGAGCCAGGCCGAGAGTGGGGCCACAGTGCACAGTGGGCTTCCGAGTGGGTCTCGGGCTTCCGAGACCAGGGCCTGGTCCCCTGCTAGGAGGGCTGGGGAGGGGCTGCCACAGCTGCTGGGCCTGGGCACCCTAGGAGCGGGGAGAAGCTTTGTCCCAGGAAGAAAGGAGGAAGTAGGACTTCCCATGAGGTGGGGTGGTGGTTACGCGATGCCCTGTGTGTGTGTGTGTGTGTGTGTGTGTGTGTGTGTGCTTACGCATGCAGGCACGAGGGGTCCTGAGGCCTCGGAGGAGCCATGCTGCCTTGCATACAGGTTCTCACATTTCTAGTGCCATCCGTAATCCTTTTAGTTTAATTATTTAAAATGTGCTCCTTGCTTGGGTGACCCAGAGGGACAGTGTCCAGGATCTAGGGAGGGCTCCGGGAGTTCTTGAAGGGACATTTGAGGCTTTATAGAAGCTGGGGCTGGGGGAGAGCAGCCAACCTGAGAAGAGAAATTGAATGGCATGTCTTCAAAGAGGTCAGGTGGTCTTTGCTTATCACTGTATCTCCAGCCCAGGCCTGGCTCCCAGAAGATGCTAATACTTATTTGCCGAATGAAAGGTCTTTGCCCCCTGTGAGTTTTGGAAATCGGAGGAACAATACAATGTGATNAGAGGGAGGAACAATACAATGTGATTGAAGCAATCTGGTCAGACTTCTTGGAGGAGGTGAGCTGCCCCTTTCATTTTAGTCTGAGTACTTTACCCTCTGGAGGGAGGGAGAAGTTTCGTCTTGACACCCGTGGGAGCATCCACATTGAATTTGCCTTACAAGGATGGGAAAGAGTATCTGTTCTTACCAAGTGTGGGAAGTAGGAGAGGATAGGCTCTCAGAAGTCTCCTGTGCAGATGGCATCCTGTCTGGAATAGCTGTCGTGGAGGGAGAGGCCTCCCTGGGGTCTGGTTCCTAAGTCCACATGCTCTGCAGGCAGCCAGGCCTTCGCCCAGTGTAGACATGTGGGTCCCCACACTGGGGTTCAGGGGGCGAGCCTGGCCTGTGCCTGCCCACAGCTCCCAGCTGCCACTGTGTCGCAAACATCCTTCCCAGGTTAGAACCGCAGGCAGGTTCATCAGTACAGTTCCCTGTGAAAGTGCCTTTGTCCCCTAATGGCAGGGTGTCCTCTACAACCCCTATTGCAATTTACTATGGTTTCTCAGGCTCAGTTTCCCACCTGAGAAGAGGGTTAACCATGTAGGTAGAGGTCCAAGGCCACCCCACCTCCCCAGGAGTCTCAGTGGTCGGTGGTGTGCGGGGACTGGGCATACCATCTATGACAGTGTTCCCAGTGTGGCCCCTGGGCCAGGAACAAGGGCTCCCCTGGTGAGTCTCAGAGGCACGAAGCCTCGCTCCACCCACACCTCCTGCTCAGAGCCTTGGGCCAGCCCAGCAGCCTGGGCTCCAGGTCATCCTAATGGACCTCAGGTCTGAGCCACTGTTCGCGCAGGTCCCGGGCTGACAGCCCTCCGAGTGCCTTCCAGGTGCCCGGAGCTGTGGACAGAGGTGTGTCCTATGGCGCAGTCAGGCTCCAGGGAGCCTCAAACATTTGATGACTGGAAACTCAGCCAAGTGTCAGGGACTTTAAAAGACCATGGAGCGAAACCCAGTGTGGCTTCTGAGTGGAGATAAGACAGGCTAAAAACCCGTAACTAGTGAGAGGTCACGCTCATCGCTCTGAGGCTCGTCACTCGTCGCTCTAACGGACAGGAGACACTGGCAGTCCTATTTGACAATGGAGTGACAGCCGCCTGTGTCCACCCCTCCCTGCTGAGGACTGGTGCAGATAGGCAGCCAATGCACCGGCTAGGGTTCCAGCGATGCGGCCCGAGGCCTGCTGGACCAGCTGCAGCCTGCCTTTCCTTCATCCAGGGGAGTGCTGGGGCACGGACTAATGGCCAGAACTATTTTGCATATATTTGTATTTTATTTTATTTATTTATTTATTTTAAAAAATTTATCTTTATTGTTGAGTATTACAGGTATACCATTTTTTCCCGCAACTGACCCCCTCCACTCTGCTCCCACCCCCTCCCCAGGCCTTCACCCTGTTATTGACTGTGTCCATGGGTTATGCATATATGCATATAACTTCTTTGGTTAACCTCTTCCCACCCTCCACCCCTCTTCCCTCCTTCCTCTGAAATATGATCGTCTGTTGCATGTCTCAATGTCTCTGGATCTATTTAGTTCATCAGATTCTTTTGTTCATTAGCTTTTTCTTAAAGACCCTTCAACTTTTCCTGTAGTGCTGGTCTGGTGGTGATGAACTCCTTTAGCTTTTTCTTATCTGTGAAGCTCTTTATTTGACCTTCAATTCTAAATGATAGCTTTGCTGGGTAGAGCAATCTTGGTTGTAGTTCCATGTTTTTCATCACTTTGAATATTTCTTGCCACTCCCTTCTGGCCTGCAAGGTTTCTATTGAGAAATCAGCTGACAGTCGTATGGGTGCTCCCTTGTAGGTAACTAACTGCTTTTCTCTTGCTGCTTTTAAGATTCTCTCTTTGTCTTTAACCTTTGGCATTTTAATTATGATGTGTCTTGCTGTGGGCCTCTTTGGGTTCCTCTTGTTTGGGACCCTCTGTGCTTCCTGGACTTGAAAGTCGATTTCTTTCCCCAGGTAGGGGAAGTTTTCTGTAATTAGTTTTTCAAATAGGTTTTCAATTTCTTGGTCTCTTTCTTCCCCTTCTGGCACCCCAATAATACAAATGTTGGGCCTCTTGAAGTTGTCCCAGAGGCTCCTTATACTATCTTCATATTTCTGGATTCTTTTTTCTTTTTGCTCTTCTGGTTGGGTGTTTTTTGTTTCCTCATGTTCCAAATTGCTGATTTGATTCTCAGCGTCCTCTACTCTACTGTTGATTCCCTGTAAATTATTCTTCATTTCAGTTCCTGTAGCCTTCATTTCAAATTGGTACTTTATTATGTTATCGATTTTCTCAGTTATTTCCCTAATAGTCTGCTTAAACATCCTTATAAACAAAATTCTGAACTCTGTATCTGTTAGCTTGCTTGGATCTATTTCATTTAGTTCCTCTTCTAGAGATTTCTTCTGTTCTTTCCTTTGTGACATGTTTCTTTGCCTCCACATTTTGGCTGCTTCCAGGTGTTTGTTTCTATGTATTAGGTAGAGCTGCTATGTCTCCTGGAATTTGTAGAGTGGCTTTGTGTAGTAGGTGTCCTGTAGGGTCCAGTGGCTCAGCCTCCCCAGTCACCTGAGCTGGGCCTTCTAGGTGCTCCCCTGTGTGGGCTGTGTGCACTGTCCTGTTGTAGTTGAGCCTTGGTTGCTGTTGGCGTCACTGGGAGGAATTGACCCCCAGGCCAATCAGCTGTGAGGACCAGCTGCAACTACAGCCAAAGAGCTGCTGTGCTGGAGACACCCCTATGGAGCAGGATTTACTTCAGTGGAGCTTTGGTGTTCACCAAGTGCGCCCCTTGAGTGTGTCACTCGTGGATGTGGTAGGGTTGTAATCCAGCGTGGTCGAGTCTGACCACCAGGTGCACTGTCTCTGGGGCCTCTCGGGAGGTGCGAAGTCACCCTCTGCCAGTGCCTTGCCCAGTGCCACCCAGCATGAGCTACACAGCAAACCGTAGTTGGCTGCTGCTTATGCTGGGCTTGGAGGAGCCCAGGAGAGGCCCAGCTATGAGCCAGTGCAGCTGCCGCTAGTGCCAGGCCTGGGGCCACTTATCAAGCCTTAAGGGGCCCGCTGCTGCTTGTTGGAGAGATTTTAGGAAAGTCCTGTGCATGAGGCTGGAGAGGCCACTTGCACAGAAAAGCCCCTGGAAATGGCCTGGATGAGCTGCAGGTGGGGAGGGGCGGGGCCTCCGGGAATCACGGGGCGGGGCCAAAGGNGCCGGCTGTGTGCGGGGAGGACTCGCCAAAGGAGCCATGGCCTCCGCCAGCTCTTCCACCCCGGAAGAAGCCGCCCCTCCGCCTCTCGCCCGGATCTCAGGCAGGTCAGTTCCTCCCCGAGTGTCCCGGGTCCTTTCAGGCTGCTGCCCGGCGCTGGGCTNTCCGGGTGAGTCCGTGCCGGGCCCTTTAGAGGAGCTGCTGGGGCTCCCTCGGCCTCCGCGACCCTGAGCGACAGTCCCCGCGGGTTTCACAGCCCGGGGTTGTGGGGACGTCTCTTCCTGGCCCTGGAGCCCTGGGCTGGGGGCCTGCTGTGGGGCTGGGACCCCTCACTCCTCCGGGAAACCCCCACCACCGNCTGGCCCTGGAGCCCTGGGCTGGGGGCCTGCTGTGGGGCTGGGACCCTCCCTCCTCCGGGAAACCTCCGCCGCCGAGATTCCCTCCCGGGTTTCAACCTCGGCACCGGGTGTAGGCCCACGGCGGCGTCTCTGTGATTCAGCCCCGATCCGCCTTGTCTGTTCCTCTCCCACCGTTCTCGGTGCTGCTTCAGCTTCCTGGTTGTGGGGCTTCTCAGGAGGTTCTGAGTGATGGTCGTTCTGTGTTTTAGTTGTAATTTTGATGTGGTTGGGGGATGCGGCGGGCGCAGCTGTTACCTACGCCGCCATCTTGTTTCTCCCCGGCTTCCTTAAATTCTTAATGATGTTTGAACCAGGGCCCTACATTTTCATTTGGTACCGAGTCCAAAAATGATGTTGCTGGTCCTGCAGCCTTAGGCATGTGGCATCTCTGGGTGGCCACATGGTGTGAACTGGGCGGGAGCAGGGTCTGAGGAGGCTCTGACAGGGTGGAGCGAGGCCTGGAGTGGGCTGGGAGATGGAAATGACTTCTTCCAACCCCCTACCTGCTGCTCTGTCGTGTGGGCTCTGGGGGTCTGCAGGCCCTTTCAGCAAACCTGGGGAACGGGACCCTAGGATCTGTTGCTCCACCTGCAGGTATGGGACCCCACGGCAACTCAGG